CTTCTTGGCATTGAGCCGAGTGGTAGAGGCTTTGGTACAGCTAGACTCCATTAGGGTGTAGGTAAATACAATACTAAATACTACGAAAAGGGGGAAAGGCTAGTAGTTCCTCTAACAAAAAGGAGAACTTACATTGCAACAAACGAAGTTCAAGAGACAGCAATCAGACATTTATTATGACCAGCTTTATAGTAGGAGGCCCCTTGTAAGGGATAAAGACTGGATTACTAAACTATTAACATTCGAGAGTTGGGAAAAAGGTTTTTCCCCCATTTGGCCCAACCTATGATTTCTAAGCACCACTGATGTTATCCAGATCGCCGCCTTCAAGAAGTGCAAGTGATTGGTGCCAAGACTGCAAGACGCAGTCCCGTCTGGTCGTGCTCTGCCTCAGGGACTCCGCTCCGCGCCCTGCGTTCATGCATTCCGGGGCCCACTCCGCCGCATAGCCCGGCCCGATCCGCAATCTGCATCCATTTAGCCGACCGACCCCACATTTCCGGGGTACGAGCGGTCGGACGAACTCTCAGGCACGAGGGACGCAGTCGAGGCCTTGCAACAGAAATCGAAGTCGTCCGGATTTCCGGGCTCCGATTCCGGTGTCAAAATGCAAAAGAGCCACGCCAGCTCCACCGGTGGCAAGAAAAGCAGATAACCTATAACGTTAGAGAAGCGCCACTTTTGCAACCATTTGAGCAGGCACTTTCCGGAAGATGCAGCGCATAAGGCAACGGCCAAGCTGCCCAGGCGGCAAGCATAGGGAAAGCCGACGCCACGAGAAGGAATAACTTCCACCGCGCTTGCTTCCAGGACGTCCTAGAACCAAGGTTTTTTGGGGGCCGGTAAGTTGCATCTACCCGTGCTACCCGGTAACACCAAGGTTAAAATCCGAGGATTAGTGCAACAGGTGCTCAACGGCCATTGGCAGCTATGGTGAAGTGGAGGCGGTGAAGCCGATGGCCAGCAAATGGGCCTGTATTTAGTTTCCCTGAGTTTGTGCAGATTAAGAATTTCATGTCCTCTTTGTTACCTTCCCTTATCTACACTAGTCTTGTTCTCTTCTTCCCAGCCCACCAATTTCACAGCGTGCCATCACAATGCAAGAATTTTATATTGAGTCTATTACCTGGGACTCGACATACAATTTGGAGAGTGAAATCACTCTTTACGTCCGCCATAACGGCGCCGCCTTCCGCATCTGCTACGATCCACGCATCCTCGCCGCCTCGCCTTCTGTCTTGGACCAGCATCATGAGTCGTACCGAATCCTACACAAGGATGATCGAGATGGAGGACTTCCTGAAGTTGCGGAACGTCTCAGAAAGCCGTTTGAGGAACTTATGACTCAGATGGCCCCACCAATCGAGTCAACACGGTATCTGCACAGTCATATCTACCCACCGTGGTTTATCCTCGAGGCAAGGGTAGCTGAGAGCAGCAGCCACGTTCAGCCACATTTCAAGGTGGCCCTCTCGCGACAGGAGTTCATACGTCCGGGTGATTATGTGAACAGCAAATTCCTTCAAGCGCACCTGTCTCCGCTGCTCGACTCGAAACTCAACATATACTCGTCTCGTCAAGTACAAGTCCTGTCTCAAACATCGCGTCTGGTTCCGTCTAGGGTCCTTGTGGACGGTACTATGCACTTCTTCAAACCTTGGGTATCAGGTCGGGTGCATGGGTACCACGAGCTGAAGTCATACAAAAAGATACTTGCAGACACTGAGAAAAGCCCGCCGCTTCTTACCGATGCACGCATCTGTCGCCTTCGCGGTCTGATTATCGACAATGATGATGATGTCCTTCAACACTATCCTCTCAACGGCAATGAAGAGGACCACGCTGGGAAACGCTTGGTCGGACTGCTTCTCAACTATATCGAGAGTAAAGGCACTCTGAATGATTTGGCGCCTTGGTCCGACTGCACAAAAGAGGAGCGGCTTCGCTGGTCTAGGCAGATACACCACTCCGTCACCTGTTTGCATAACGCAGGCGTGGTTTGGGGTGACGCTAAGCCCGATAATGTCTTGGTTGATATGAAGGGCGATGCCTGGCTCATTGATTTCGGCGGTAGTTATACCCGGCACTGGGTTGACGAGGATAAGCGGGAAACTGTGGAAGGAGACTGGCAGGGTGTACAAAGGATTGATGATTGGCTCGCCAAGTGGTCCCACCAGCCTGTTACTCGTATCAAGCGGAGTGGTGAAGTGTCAGGAGGGAGCAGTGTGATGGAGGGGGTTGTGTGATGGTGGTGGTGAGGAGGAGGGGATGTTAAGTTGATGGAAGGGGGGAAATAAGGGGGATCGTCTTCAACCTAACTTTCGAGTACGGGGAATCGACCACGGATCATGGAGCATAGCATCACAGAGTACGGCGGCGTCGTAGCGTCATAGGGCCGGGTAGGTACCAAGAGCATTGACAAGATGGATAAGTGGTCTAGCCCACCTGCACGACAAATTCCAAAA